GAATGAACAACAAAGATGGCGGTTAATTTGCATACATAGGCTCCAAGCGGCGGAGCAGTGAAGATGGAGAATGGAAGGCAGCTCCAGCCAGAGCAAAGGCCTGGGTCCCGGGTGCCGAAGGAAAACTGGTACTCGCAGCCAGGAGAAGGGAAGGCCTATTGCACGAATCTCTTCATGCAACAGACCTCTAATTAATACATATAGACTAAATCGCCCTGGCTGGTGTGGTTCTGTGGCTAGAGCATCAGCCCATGCACTGAATGGTCACAGGTTTGATTCCTGGTCAAGGGCATGTATCTGGGTTGCAGATTCGATCCCCAGCCCCTGGTAGGGATGCATGCAGGAGGCAACCAATTTTGTGTCTCTCTCACATTCATGTTTCTAAATTTTATAAGTAATATTCATTGAACACAACCCACACCATTCATTTTCATATTGCATATGGTTGCTTCCATACTATAATGGCAGAGTTGTACAGTTGTGACCTAGTTTGTAACCTGCAAAGTTACAATATTTACTCCCTGATCCTATACGGAAAACCAGCAAAGATCATAAAAAGGGAAGCAAGAACCCCAAAGAGATAGAAAATATGAAGGCAAGGTTAAAAAACATGTGGTGGAAACTATGTTCAAAAGCTCCAACATCTGACTAGTAAGAACTGCAGGACATGCCCTAGCTGGTTTGGCTCAGTGGATAAAGTGTCGGCCTGAGGACTGAAGGGTCCTGGGTTTGATTCCAGTCAAGGGCACATGCCTGGGTTGAGGACTTGACCCCCAAATAGGGGTTGTGCAGGAGGCAGCCGATCAAAGATTCTCTCTCATTACTGACATTTCTCTCTCTCTTTCCCCTCTCCCTTCCTCTCTGAAATCAATAAAAATATATGTTAAAAAAAGGAGAATTGCAGGACACAGAAACAATGGCACCAGTTGGGCGAGCATGGGGAAAAGTGGCCCTCACCCGAAAGCCACACACCTCAGTCTCTCCCTATATAACTCCAGTTTTCTTTAAGCCACCGTCCCTCCACCAGAGCCCAGGAGCGGTTGTGAGCATGAGACAGCATACATGAAGCTGCCTGACACCCATAGGAATTTGGGTCTGGTTCTAAATCACAACATAAGCAGCTTGAGGCTCACTTCCCTGGAGGAAAGGGATGTCCACATCTGCCGCCGTGCACAACTCAAGGGGGTCAATTCACACTGTATGGTAGTCTATGCTCAACACCAGGATTCAATGTGAATAGTCCTTTCTGGAACTGTGTAACATGGAATATTAGGTAATTCCCTGCGGTTCTCACTGTACTATATGATCAACTGTGGGAGGAGGGTGCAGAATAGGGAGGAATCATATTATACTTTGTTCATTTTAGACAAGATTAGGAATCTAGGTTTTGAGGTCCTTAAAGATTGCAAGGTAATTATCAAAAAAGTAAAAGAATTATCAGTGCTTTAATTAAATGTCAACATTATTTTCAGAACAGATACTGACATTAATACTAACAAAGAATTTCTGATCAAATTAACTTCTTCTCAATAAAATATTCTAAGAAAAATTCCATAAAAATAAAGTTTCACCCTGACTGGTTTGGCTCAGTGGATAGAGCATTGGCCTGCGGACTGAAGGATCTTAGGTTCGATTCCAGTCAAGGGCATGTACCTTGATTGCGGGCACATTCCCAGTAGGAGGTGTGCAGGAGGCAGCTGATCGATTTCTCTTTCACATCGATGTTTCTAACTATCTCTCTCTCCTTTTCTATCAGTAAAAAATCAATAAAATAGCCCTAACCAGTTTGGCTCAGTGGAAGAGAGGAAGGGAGAGGAATAGAGAGTTAGAAACATTGATGAGAGAGAAATATTGATCAGCTGCCTCCTGCACAGCCCCCACTGGGGATGTGCCTGCAACCAAGGTACATGCCCTTGATCGGAATCGAACCTGGGACCCTTGAGTCTGCAGGCTGATGCTCTATCCACTGAGCCAAACCGGATAAGGCTCTCACATTGATATTTCTAACTCTCTAACCATCTCTCTTCCTCTCTGTAAAAAATCAATAAAAATATATTAAAAAATAATCAATAAAATATATTTAAAAAAAGAAAAAAGTTTCAAAAAGAATAAGAATGGCCCTGGCTGGTGTGTGGTTCCGTTGGTAGGAGTGTCCTCCTGTGCACAGAAAGGTTGTGGGTTTGATTTCCAATCAGGACACGTGCCTAGGTTGCAGGTTCGATACCCAGCCCTGGGAGGGAAGCATGCAGGAGGCAACAGATCAATGTTTCTCTTTCCAAAAAAGATCAATGAAAATGTGCTCAGGTGAGGATAAAAAAAAAAAGAATAAGAATGTTTCACATCAGATTCCCTTTTTATGAATTCTGGTAAAATCTTAATATCCAAATAACGTAATGAAATGAAAAAGGAAAAGCACAGGATAATATCATTCATAAATATATAAAAGTTAAACATTAAACTGAATCCAGCAATGTATAAAAAAGCTAGATGGTTGAGTAACAGAATGTTCGTTTTATTATTCTTTAAATTGTTTGCATATACATTTACGTAGTTATAGCTCGCAACTTAAAACTAACATTAAATTAAAGTACAGGAAGAATATAAAGAAAATTAAAATTATCTAAAACCTCAATTCCCAGATAAACCAATGTTAATATTTATGCATTTTTTTGCAGTGTTTTTCGTAAGCATACAATTTTATCTTTACAAAATTGGAATTATCTCATACATATGGACTTCTTCCTGAGAATAAGTTTCTATTATAAGAAATTTTTTTAAAAAGATTATTTTACCGTAATGTTAAAGATCAAAAGTGGTATGTTCTTTTGTAACCTTTCTTCATTCAATATGAGAGAAGTTTTCTCCATCACTGTTGTTCAGAACATGGCTTTTTCTGACAGCAATTATTTTAAATGTTTTTTAATTGATTTTTAGAGAGAGAGGAAGGGAGAGGGATAGAGAGATAGAAATATCTATGAAAGAAAAACATCATCGATCAGCTGCCTCCTGCATGCCCCCTACTGGGGATCAAGTTGGCAACCCAGGCATATGCCCTGACAGGGAATTGAATGGGTGACCTCTTGGTTCATGGGATGACCCTCAATCACTGAGTCACACCAGCTGGGCGACAGCAATTACAATACATAACTACCTTAATTTAATCTAATTCCTTTTTGTTGGATACTTAGATTGTTTCTAATTTTCTATTATCAATACAATGATGAAAACTCAGTATGTCACTTTTAAATACAAGAACAGAATTCATATCTAATTAAACAAAGAAAAGCCACACACAAAAAAACAAAATACACAAGCCCTAAACTAACTCAACAGACAAATGGAGAAAAATTACAGATTTTATGGCAAGAAAAAGAGTATCAGAAGCTGGTCTTAGGGTTTACCTACCTGCTGCCTCCTCATTGTTTTGAGCAGCTGACACACCTAATCGTTCCTTTAGAGACTTGGAAACTTGAACTGTAAATAAAAACCAAAAAACCCAAAAGTTGAACAGAGATTTTTTTAGAGATCAAATATCTTTTTCAAAGGTCACAAATTAGGCTTGTATTTCTCTTCTAATACAAATGCTTTTAAAAATGTTTTAGGTCAACTGGCCAGCAAGACTCTCTTTTCTTAATCCTCACCCGAGGATATTTTTCCATTGAATTTTTAGAGAGTGGAAGAGAGAGGAAAAGACAGAGAGAAGTATTGATGTGAGAGAAACACATCGATTGGTTGCCTCCTGCACACACCCCAACCAGGGCCCAGCCCGGGGAGGAGCCTGCAACCAAGGTACGTGACCTTGACCGGAATCGAACCCAGGCCCCTTGGGTCCGCAGGGCGACACTCTATCCACTGAGTTAAACTGGCTAGAGTTAAAAATATATTTAAAAAAATGTTTTCACGTCTTAAACTTTCCTCTCTATGAAATTTTCCTCCCCAAAACACTCTAGAGAGCTTTAAATATTTTTCTTTAGATTTGAAAAGCAGAAACTACTGAATTAATAAGTAAAATAATTAAATATGTACTTTAGTTAAAAGAAGTCTTCAATATAATTGACTGTCAAGGAGGAAGGGAATTTGGCTGCAAAGTTTGTGCTTTCATAACATGTACACTTGCCCTCTCACAGAAATTATCACAATACATACAAGTATTTCTACTATAATCTCTTAAGGATTGTGTTTATTTTATACAATGATGTCTACCTAGAATTAAGTAGAGTAAGCAACTCAAATGTTTGTTGAATGAATAAAATGCATACCAGAAGATACTCTAATTTACATGCACAGAAAGAGTAACAAACTATACCTGTTAACATTACAGAAGACAAATGTCAAGATCACACACACAAAGTGTATTACAACAAAGTTACCTTTCTTTGGTGTTTTGTCAGTTTCTGAAGCATCAACTTTCTTCCCTAGCCTCTGTGCAAGGCTACGCTTTAACGGCGGATCACTGTCACCACCTACAAATAGAGAAAATTTAGTTTAAGAGTTCAAGTCAACATTCTGCAAGGTCAAGAAATACAAGAAAAAACAGAAAACATAGAATACTTCTTTACTTTTCGGCATTTATATGGTGTATTCGTTTACTAGCTTATTTATTACTCAATGTTAGAGAAGGAATAAAAATGTTCTGAAAGAAGGGACAAAAATTGGAATGCACAAATTAACATTTACCAAATAATTGACTAAAATTACAAATGGAGGATTGTAAATCCTGGCTAAGACTGAAAATCAGAATTAGGAATATATGAAAAAAAAACCCCCCACAAAAAACAAAAAGATTCTCCATGTACAAAAAAGAAACAAATTTCACTCCCTGTCTGCTGAATTCTAAGTAAATTAATGACTTAATGCACCAGGGATTAGGAGGACAGCAAAAGAATCACAAAATTAAAAAATTTTATGTGACATAAAGACTCTGAAGGCCAAATAGCGCCCGTCTTCAATCCCAGAAAAGAAATTTAACGTTATGAAAGATTCTCTATCTTAGCCAAGTCACCAATTATTGATGGAGCCAAGATCTGGACAAAGTTTTCTGACTCCTGGTTTATTACATTACACTGTTCAATACAAGTTGTTTAAATGTCATGAGTTGTTTTAGGATTCTTTGACTAAAGATACAATCTTTCCAGAGTCCCATTAAAAACTTGACTCTGCAGAGTATGATTTTCTCTCTCCTTTCATGAGACCAAAATTTCACAATGTTTACATGTATGCTGATGTTAAAAATAACTTATTTCTGTATTTTTTAAAAAACTGATATTCTATTGATTTTTTACAGAGAGGTAGGGAGAGGGATAGAGACTTAGAAACATCGATGAGAGAGAGAAACATCGATCAGCTGCCTCTGGCACAGCCCCTACTGGGGATGTGCCCGCAACCAAGGTACATGCCCTTGACCGGAATCAAACTTGGGACCTTTCAGTCCACAGGCCGACGCTCTATCCACTGAGCCAAACCGGCTACGGCTGTATTTTTTTTACTTAAAATTTATCAGGCAATGAGAATGGTGTCAAAGAAAATTCCAAACAGTTAAGATTTCATATTTGCAAGCACATTTTAAAAGAGTATGAAGTCAGAAGAGACTTTCAAAATAATTTTGAAAAATACACACTAGGGTAGGTACACAACAATTCAGTAATATGGTAAATACTTCCCTAAATATAACCTAGCACTAATAAACTCAGGGATGAATTTATATTAACTGGACACTTCTTCCCCTCTAAAATGTCAAATTTCAATTTGTCCATAGAAACAGAAATATACTTTACTGCTTTTTAAAATGCTGGCCATAATCAAATTAAATTTTAATGCAAATTTCTCCGACTTCAATCAAAGATATAATGCACGTGTGAAAAACATGGGAACATTTTAAATGTGCTTTCAGCCAAGAATACAGGGGATTACAAATCAATTATGACAGGGCACCTATATAAAGAGAAGGTTGGAAGAGGTATCACATTAATGCACAAACAAGAAGAAAACAAAAGATATGTACAAAACTTATCTCACCTACAGAAAATTTTCGTTTCCCCAGTCTCTCGGTGAGACTCAACCTTATCAAGGGTTCTTCTCCTGAAATGGCAAAACAGAATTTCTCTACTATTAGGCAATTTTTCAGTATATAGCAACTACTAATGGGTATAAATCATGTGCCAATATTAACATAAGTCCACTTAATTTCTTGAAAATCAGAGCTCAGTCTTAGGAAAACTATCAATAAAAAAAAAATCAACATGTTAAATAATAAATTTAAGTAGCCAAATGCACAGCCCAAAGGGAAGCAATAGCAGTCCTAATTACTAATAGTAGCCAAGTATACAATGACAAGTGTGTTCTAATCAATTGATTATAAAATCTACACTTTTGCTTGCATACTTTAGTATGCTAAAAAAGAAAAAAAATAAATCATGCTCCACTCCTATAACCTTCTTGGATCACTCCAGAAGTGAGTGCTTTCTTCTGATTCTTTGTTGTCTGAATGGCACAAACATTTAAATGTATCTGCACACCATAATTACTTGTGTCCTATTCCTTACTAGATTTAAAACTATGAAGGGAAATATTTCTATAACTTAAAGGGTTTTTTTATAGTTCTTTAACCATAATGGGCAGTCAACCAATTTGGTGAATGGATACAAACAAACAGTAAATGAAAAAGTTAAATATACATAAATATGAGAACTACATTAAGAATTTCAATCTTTTTAACAGCAGAGTCAAATGCACTAACTTTTCTTTTCATCCTTCTATCCAATCAACATTCTTTTTTAAAAAAAATCTTTATTGATTTCAGAGAGGAAGGGAGAAGGAGAGAGATAGAAACATCAATGATGAGAGAGAATCATTGATTGGCTGCCTACTGCACACCCCACACTAGGGATGGAGCCCACAACCCAGGCATGTGCCCTTGGCTGGAATCGAACCTGGGACTCTTCAGTCCGCAGGCCGATGCTCTATCCACTGAGCCAAGCCGGCTAGGGCCCACTCAACATTCTTAACTCCACCTGCAAATCCACCAAAGGTAAAATAAAATGCACACGAGGATTTTGCTCGCCCAGTTATTTATGTCTACAGCCTAACTATGTCTCACCTTGTTTGTTGGAGAGAGTTACTGTCCTCACCACAGTCCGGACATTCTCTTTTTCAGGACCTGGAATGGGCTGAGGCTGGAGTAGAAGACTGGAAACTCCCGAAGAACCTTCTGAATAAAGCAAGTCAAAGAACAGTAAATAATTTGTGAAAAATAAAGCTATCACAAGTCAAGAAATTTGATCTGTGACCAGGTAAGTCCAACACAGAACGCTGGACTACAAGCCTATCAGTTTCTCTGTTCTGTTTGCCTACAGGGGTCATGGTGGGAGAAGGGGAGATAATCCCTATTTCTTAACTTCTTTGGACACAATATGCAAATAAAACAAAATTGTTTTGAGTGACTTAAGCACTTAATCTACCCTTTTTTAAAAGTATGTCTTATTGATTTTTTTACAGAGAGGAAGGGAGAGGGATAGAGAGTTAGAAACATTGATGAGAGAGAGACATCTATCAGCTGCCTCCTGCACACCCCTTACTGGGGATGTGCCTGCAACCAAGGTACATGCCCTTGACTGGAATCGAACCTGGGACCCTTCAGTCCGCAGGCCGACGCTCTATCCACTGAGCCAAACTGGTCAGGGATCAATCTACTTTTATTGACTAACAAGGCTAACATTATTCCAAAGTTAATTTCAGAAGCACACTAGCTGTCAGGTGTGTCAATTCAATCTTTTTCATCTATATTCAATTACATGCAAAACAGAACTCCAACGTTCCTATAGAAAAAGATTTACCAAAAGGGTACTAGAACCAACCCCTTGATTCTCTCTAAATATTAATTTGACACAATAATTTTTAGGGTTGGAAATGTATAAATCAATCAAGCTCCAGAAGAAAGTCCTAGCAGATTGTGAGAACTCATCAACTACAAAATAAAGTATTTCTTCTTTTAATACACTTTATTTCTCAAGATCAACAAGTTCTTTTGAGCTCTTTAGTTCTGGTGCTTAGCTGTGAATAGTTAGGAACTGAAACACAATTGCAATGAATTAAAACTAAGTGATTTAAGTAAGTCTGTGCTTTAACTTCAAACCAGCCACAGAAGTCAAATTCATTTTGGCTGTTGCCAAGGGTCCTTACCATTGGAAGTGTCCTAATTATTCTTCTCTAGCAACATTCAATGATCTAGTCAAAACTGATAACTTACCACCTTGCTTCTTGGACTTTTCCTTCATTTTCTTTGACTTGATTTCCTCAAGAGTTTTTATTCCAAAATTCAAACATTCACCTGGGAAAAGCAAAGAGAAATCACATGAGGTACTAGCACCTTTTTCACCTTTGCATTTTATTTGTACACTAGAGGCCCAGTGCACAAGTTTGTGCACATTAAAAGGAATTAATTAGAAGAAATATTTTAATGTCACTGTCTGCCCTTTCTCTATAACAGAAGTGTCAACCAAATTCACAATTGACAATGACAGATTGAAACACAGGCACGCGATTGGTGCCAGCAAGAGCTTTATATGTATTGATTCTGTGCGGTGTGAAAACCTGAAGTCATTTTCAAGGTCCACCATTTCTTACTTTTCAGTTGGGTCAAGTTTCTAAGCTTTCTAAATCTCCGTTTTCCGGCTAACGAAAATAGGATTCCATTGAGTCTCCTATCTATCTATTCCAGGACTTCTGTGAGGATCAAATGAGATGAGTCACGGGAAAACACTTCACAGACATTTGGTTAAAGTGTAAAAATTTCCACTCGGCTATAAAGCAAGTCACGTTCCTGGGCTGAAGAAACTCCAAGAAGCTAGTAGCTAGGGAGAGGAAGCTGGGCGTTGCTACATGTAGGATTCCATTGAGTCTCCTATCTATCTATTCCAGGACTTCTGTGAGGATCAAATGAGATGAGTCACGGGAAAACACTTCACAGACATTTGGTTAAAGTGTAAAAATTTCCACTCGGCTATAAAGCAAGTCACGTTCCTGGGCTGAAGAAACTCCAAGAAGCTAGTAGCTAGGGAGAGGAAGCTGGGCGTTGCTACATGATGTCATTACCCGGCGCCCACAGCTACCATTTCCGGGCTGGCCTGGACTGTGGGCCTCATTTTGTGCAATGGGGTCTTGGCAGTGTTGGCTGCGATTTGGTGGGGTGTTGCTCCTGGGTGGTGGCAGGGCCTGTGTCCCACTTGGGGAAAGCCAAGTGTTGCTTTGTGGGCACCAGGTCCGTGATGCTGTTTCTCTGTAAATGGCCAGTGTGCGTCACAGCAGCTCCTGCATTGAGCGGCTGCCACTGGTGGTCAGTGAGCGTCATAGCGACTGGTCAGACAGTCAGACACTCAGCATATTAGCCTTGTAGATACATAGATAGCAGGTGCTCAGATGTTTTCTAACTAAGAGGAAGTATGTTTGAAGTTTATATTTATTGTTGAAAGTATTACAGATGTCCCCCCCTTTTTTTCCCATTGACCCCATTTATCCTGCACACACCCCAGGCCGTCACCACACTATTGTCTCTGTCTTATATATGCATATAAGTTCTCCGGTTAATCTCTCCCTACCCCCTCACCCCTACTTCCACCTTCCCTCTAAATTCATCATTCTGTTCCATGCTTCTATGTCTCTGGATCTATTTTTGTTCATCAGTTTATTCTGTTCATTAGAACATGAATTAAATTTCAAAAGTATTTAAAATAGTTTGGACATTCAATAGTGTTGCAAGATTTAAGAGTGGGAGCCAGCATCAATACAGCCTCCTCTTACCTTGTTTTAAATTGACCCCGGGTTTCCGGGCAGAAGCCCCTCGTAATCCATTATGAACTTCAGGAGTTGGTTGCAGGGTTGGTGTTTTGGTTTCATCACCTTCCTCAGAAAACTGATCTATATTAACATTTAAGGCAAATTTTCAATTAAAAACAGGCCTAGAGCTTTAAGTCTAATTCATTAAGCGATCTTGATCACGTATTTGCCATAAAGAACTAAAACATACCATCATCGTCTTCATCATCATCTGCAGCATTGATCACAACTGGTGGATGTGTGGGGCTAGGAACATTTTCTGAACTTTCTACTTTCATCACACTTCGTAGTTGAGGGGAGGGATTGGACTGGACAGACAATTTGTTTTGTTGAACTGTGAGCTGGGAAGCCTTCACTTCCTCCTCTGGTGACTCAGGCACAGTGGGCAACACAACTAGATATGCAAAATTAGTCATCAATTAAAAACCAAAGATATAATCCCACGTCATCAGAACACCCTCACCAAAAGTTTGGTGCATTTTCCTTATGAGCACTTAATGTGTTTTTATTTAACATCTCCATTTTCCCAATTAGGTTCTAAATTTCCAAGGAGGGAAAACTTGGCTTTAAGTTAACTTTTTACTGTATGGAAGTACATTCAAAGTGGGCATTCAAAATATAGATTATACAGGAGGCTAGATGCATAGTGACTGTAAATTCTAGACATGTAATTTTAATATTATAATTTTCCTTCCTTAAATAAAGGTGAAAATATATAGCCATCAAAATTTAATCACATAGTAGATGTGGTTTTCAAATGGCTGATCATTCCACTAGGAAATTGCTTTCTAAGAAACTCTGGAAATAAATACTAGCTTTTGGTAGGGCATAGTTTATTTTATTTTTTAAATATATATTTTATTGATTTCAGAGAGGAAGGGAGAGAGAGATAGAAACATCACTGATGAGAGAATCATTGATTGGCTGACTCCTGCACACCCCCCACTGGAGATGGAGCCCGCAAGCCGGGCACGTGCCCTTGACTGGAAATGAACCTGGGACCCTTCAGTCTGCAGGCTGATACTCTATTTACTGAGCCAAACCAGACAGGGCACGTAGTTCTGTAAAAAGCTGGATAGCAAATATTATAGGCTCTACAGATCTCTGTCTCAACTACTCAACTCTGAAGCAGTAGCACAAAATTTGGCCATAGACAATATGAAAGTGAATGGGAATGGCTTCACTCCAATAAACCTAATTTTTTTTTTTTT